AACAAAAAAAAGGGGGATTCAGGAGTCTGGAAAAGACAGGAATGGGGATCCAGGGGGTACCAGCGTCAAGGAAAAGAGGGACCTGGGGGCTGGGAGAGGCGGGAGGGCCGGAAAAGAGGTTGTTGCAGGGGGTCCTGGAGCTGAGGAAGGGTTGAAAGAGAGTCCCAGTGCTGGAATGAGGTGCAGGGGGGTCCTGATGCCCAGGACTGGGGGTCCAGGGAGTCCCAAGGTAAAGGAAAAGGGAGTGTGGAGTCTGGGAGAGGTGGGATGGCCAGGAAAGGGGGTGCAGGGGGGTCCTGGTCCCGGATAAGGGGGTGCAGGGGGAATCTGGTGTACAGGAATGGGGGGTTCAGAGAGTCCCTGGGACACCCCAGGACCACCCTGCAGGATAAGCCAGGAGTGGGGAACTGGGGAGACCTGGAGATTTGGGGGTCAGGGTGGTCCCAGGGTCAAGGGAAGGGAGAAACTGGGAGAGGTGTGGGAACTGGGAGGGGGTTTCAGGGGGTCCCAGGGTCAAGGAAAAGGAGGGCTTGGGGGTGAGATGATAGGGGATGGCCAACCAAGAATGGGGAGCTGGGGTTCCCCAGGGTGAGGGAAACAGGGGGATGCAGGGACTGGGAGAGGTGGGATGGTGAGGAAAGTGGGGACAGGAGGGTCCTGGAGTCAAAGAGGGGTCTGGGGTCTGGCAAACTGCACTGGCCAGGCAATGGGGGGACCCAGGCCAGGAGGAGCAGGAAGAGGAGGAGGAACAGCTGGTGGGGGCTGCTGAGACCCCCAGAGCATGGAGAAGGGGGACCCCTGGGATTCCTGGGACCCACAGCAGCCTGGAGAGGGGGAGACCCCAGAGAGGTGGGACCCCTGAGACCCGCAGCACCCCAAAGCAAAGAGTCAGGGGAGAAGGGTCCCCTGGGGCCTCCAAGACCCCCAGCAGCCCAGAGAAGGCAGGGACCCTGCAGAGGGGAGTCCCCCAATACACGTGGGTCCACCCCAGCAACCCAAACAGGTGGGGCCCCCCAGAACCCCAAAGTGGAAAGACCAGAGAGGGGGAACTCTTGGAAGGGTTTTTTTTTGGTCTGAATCTTGGAGTTCTGGGGGAGGGGGTTTTGGGGGGGCTTTTGCTGTTTTGGAGCTTTTTATGGTCTCAGGATGCCCAGTGAGTTCTAGAGACGGACTTGGGCAGGAAGAACCCCCAGGCCAACGCGCTCAACCCTTGTTTTCCCCCCAGCAGGATTTGTCCTTCCCAAAGCTTGGGCGGATGGAGGAGGAGGCTGCGAGGAAGCTGCCGTGGGCCCCCCAGGCAGGTGAGGAGGAAGTCAGTGCCCCTTTGGCCCTGTCTTGTGGTGCCTGTGGGGGCAGGACCTGGGGGCATGTCCTTGACCTTCCCTCTGGGCCAGAGGCAAATCCCCTGCCTGTCCTTCTTCCTTCCTGCCCCAGACCCTGAGCTGAGGACGGAGAGCACGGAGGACAAATCCCCCCGGCAGAGCCTGGTGGGAGAGGCCGTTTTGAAGGGCTCCCCGGCGCAGGAAGGCAGCGGGGAGGAAAAGGCCCGGAGATGCCCCCGGAGGAGGGGCTGCAAAGCCAGCCCAGGGAGCTCTGAGGAGGAAAGACCCATCCTGTGCCGGGAAGGCGGCCGGAGCTTGAGCCGGAGCTCTGAGCTGGTGGTCCCTGAGCAGCCTCCCAGCAGGGAGAAGCCCTTCAGGTGCTTGGAATGTGGGAAGAGCTTCAGGTACAGCTCCGACCTCCTCAGCCACCAGCACATCCACACTGGGGAACGGCCCTACCTGTGTAGGGAATGTGGGCAGAGCTTCAGGCAGAACTCCACCCTCTGCACCCACCAGCTCATCCACACTGGGGAACGGCCCTACAAGTGCTTGGAATGTGGGAAGAGGTTTCAGCGCAGCTCACATCTCCTCAGGCATGAGCAGACACACACAGGGGAGAGGCCCTTCCGCTGCACCGACTGCGGGAAGGGCTTCAACCGGAACTCCACCCTTGTCAAACACCGGCGCATCCACACTGGGGAGAGGCCCTACAAGTGTGGGGAGTGTGGGAAGAGCTTCACCCACAGCTCCCACTTGACCAAACACCAACAGACCCACCAGTAAGGGAAGCCCTTGGAGTGCCCCGACTGCGGGAAGAGCTTTGGCCGCTGCTCCCACCCCGAATGACCCCCCTGATGGTGAGGCAACCCCTGGAGTCCAGTGACTGTCAGTCCATCCCTTTCCACCAGAAAGGGCCAGTCCCCTTTCCCAGGGGCAGGTTGTGCCAACAGAACCCTTCTTGGGGGGTGTGTGGAGATTCCTGCCTTGACTGGGACCCCCCAAGGTCACTGCTGGAGGTTGAGAGCAGAGATCTCCCCACGAGCATTGGTCTGGGGGAGTTCCATCCATCTCTAAATCATAATTCTTGCTTTGGTGCCAGCTTGAGTAGAATTGCTTCAACAATTGCTTTAGTGTAGAGCACTGTCCTATCTTATTCTGTACTACTGGTAGTTTTAGTGTTTCTATTGTGCAGTAAATAATTCTGATGAAGATCTTTTGTCTGATCATTTGTTACCCTAAATAATTAATTTCTATCAATAGATGTGATTTGCACCAAGGGTGAGATTGGATCCAGCAGCCCCAGCTCCCCACAGTCAGTTGGGAGCTCAGGGGGGCCACCCCCCTTTCCCAGCCTCCTTGTACCCAAAGACCCCCATGGGACCACCGGATCCACCAGACCACCCCCCCTTTTCCACCTTTCTCCCTGTTCCTCCCACTTTTCCATGGTCCTTCGTTATAGTCTGCCTTAATATTGCAGGTGGAGCTTCAGATTCGAATATTCCCTTGAGCAAAATTAAAACACACAAGTTTTCTGTTGATACCAAAACTTGATTTTATTAATTGCTAAGAGGTGCAAAAAGAACGAGGAAAAAATAAGAAAAGGTTGGAAAACTCTTACGATTACTTCTGAAAGCAGAGAGAAGATACCACCATGCTACCTTTCCCCTGAGCTGGTCTGTGTGTGTGGGTGAGTAGCAGTTTCTGCCCCTTGGAATAGATATGATAACCATAAACAATGGCAGGATCTTTTGGCAGGAAAAGTACCGTGGGAAGTCCTTGTGAGAACTTCTGGCAGAGAGCTGACAGAGAATGTTTGATAGGAAGTTTTTGACAGGCAGAAACAATTTTCGGCATTTCTGTATTATCTGTGTGTTACAGATGGTTGCCATGGTAAGCAATGTAACTGGGAATGCATAATGGTTACCATGGTGATGGACCCTAGTGATGGGAATGTATGATGGTTGCCATGGTAACTGACCATAGCAATGGGATAATGTGATGGTTGCCATGCTAAACGACTTCACAATCAGGATGCATAATGGTTGCATCGGTATTAACTGACCCCAGCAATGTCAATGCTCAATGGTTACCATAGTAACCCACGTAACAATGTGAATGCCTGTCTGTGTAGGTGAGCACAGTTTATTGATAGGAAGCAACCGAGAAAGCAAACATTTTATATCCTTTTTTTTTTGTATCCCTTTAATTCCCTTTTTACTAACTAATGCTGTACTAAAAGCTGTTCTTAGTATTGCGTGAATGCCAACTGATAAAGTAGTGGGTTTGTATTTTTCAACTTTTGATCCTCTTTGCCAGTAGTTTTTTTTAAATTTTATTCTCACAGCAATAAAAGATTTTTTTTAGTGTTTGAATGACTGTTGTACTTGTCTTTATTCTGGGCATGGATTTAAACAAACTAATAAAGAAGGGACTGGAAGGAGGTTTCAGGGGGTTCTGAATGGGCTGGAAGAGTCCAAGATGGGGTTTGTGAGGTCCTGGATGGTCTATGGGAGGTTTTGGGGGTCCTGACCCCCCCGACTCCCCCCAGAGATGCCACTGGACACCGTCTGCAGCAGATCTTGATGGGGATTGGGGGCTTTGTGTTGGACTTCATCTTCCTGATGCTGGGGCTCAGCTTCTACCTGTGGGAGAAGGTAAAGGGGGATCCCTGGGATTCGTGTCCCCCTTTCCCCAGAGCGTGTGTGCCCCCCTGCCCCCCCAGCCCGCTGTCACCCCCTTTTCTCTCCCCACAGAGCTCCTGAGCTGTTGGTGGCCGCAGCCCCTCCCTGTGGCCTCGGGCCCAGCCGGGACCCCCCAGTCCATCCCTACCCAGAGTTTGGGGGTGTCATGTGTCCCCCCCGGCCCTGCTTTTGTTCTCTCACCAGCCACCTACTGCTCCCAGTGCTCCCAGTAAAGCTTCTCAGTTCTCTGCAGTCCTGGTGTTGAAGGGCAGGTGCCCTCCCAAAGCCCCCCCAGAATCAACTTATGCAAATTGTACAATGGTTGGCACCCGTTGTCTTTCTGCTTCAAAGAGTGTGTATTTTTCTGCCATGTCTGGTACAATGTTTTTGCAGCTTAGTGGCTCAAACTGTGTCTGCTTTGTTTAAAGAAAAAGGTGGAGATGTAAAGATTTTTAGTGCTAATATAGAGGATATGCTACTGCTCTAAGAACATAACCTTATGTTGCTAACTAGAGGATATGCTGCTATGAGAAATAATATTTTATGTTGCAATTGTGAAAACATGATCTGTGTTTCTGATGGCCTTCTGATGGTACCAGGATGTGAAAGATCTACCAAGAGAAGCAGTAGCAAAACTAGATATAGAAAACAGGGTCTCAGTACTGGCTATCAGAGTGGGAAAGGACATAAAGAATGTTAAAGAAACAGAGCTGATAGAAGAGTATTGTTAGAAAACTGGATAAAAGACTGCTGCTTGATTCCAATCAACGGCGCTCTCTGATCATCACATTGGTGTGCTGAGTCATCCGTGCTCGCATGGAAACCCCCCAGGCAGGTGCCCTCCCAAAGGCCCCCAAACATCCCCAACATCCCCAGTGATGTCACCACTGTCCCTGGGATGTCACTGGTGTTCCCAATGATGTCACAGCTGTCCAGTTGATGTCATCGCCTTCCCTGTGATGTCACCAGACAGTTGTGATGTCACTGGTCCCCAGTGATGTCACTGCTGTCCCCAGTGATGTCACTGCTGTGCCCAGGGGTGGTCCCTGTGTCCCCAAAATGTCACTGCTGTCCCTGTGATGTCACCACTGTCCCAAGTGGTAGCACCATGTCCCTGTGATGTCACTGATGTCCCTGTGATGTCACCAGACCCCTGTGATGTCACTGGTCTCCTGGGATGTCACCGCTGTCCCCTCTAATGTCACCAATGTCCCCAATGACATCACTGCTGTCCCTATGATGTTACCACTGTCCCTTTGATGTCACCAGACCCCTGTGAGGTCACTGGTCTCCTGTGATGTCACTGCTGTCCCCATAGGTGTCACCACTGTGCCTTGTGATGTCACTGCTGTCCCCAGGGGTGGTCCCTGTGTCTCCAATGATGTCATCAGTTCCCTGTGATGTCACTGGTTCCCAATGATGTCACCGATGTCCCTGTGATGTCACCACTATCCCCTGTGATGTCACCAGTGACACTGATAATGTCACTGGTGTCTCTGTAATTTCACTCCTGTCCTTGGAAAGTCATCAATGTCCCCTGTGATGTCAAAGATGTCCCCATTGATGCCACTGGTGTCTCTGTGGTGTCATCACTGTCACCTGTGATGTCAACAATGTCGCCAATGATGTCCTGCTGTCTCTGTGATGTCACCACTGTGCCGAGCCATGGCACCATGGCCCTGTCATGTCACGGATGGCAGTGATGTCCCTGTGACATCACAGCTATCCCTTTGTTGTCAGCAGTCCCCTGTGACGTCTCTGGTCCCCAATAATGTCACTGCTGTCCCTGTGATGTCACTGGTCCCCTGTGGTGTCACCACTGTCCCCTGTGATGTCATCAGTGACCCTGATGATGTCACCAGGGTCACTGTGATTTCACCCTTGTCCTTGTGAAGTCACTGAAGTCCCCTGTGATGTCACCAATGTCCCTGTGACATCAGGGCTGTCCTTTTGTTGTCAGCAGTCTCCTCTGATGTCGCTTGTCCCCAATGATGTCACTGCTGTCTCTGTGATGTCATCACTGTACCCAGCGGTGGCACCAAGTCCCCGTGATGTCACTGATTTCCCTGTGACATCAGGGTTGTCCTTTTTTGTCACCAGTCCCTGTGTTGTCACTGGTCCTGAATGATGTCACCAATGTCCCTATGATGTCACCAGGGCCCTGTGATGTCACTGGTCCCCTATTGGTCGAGGAGCTCACATTGAACAAACACACGCAAACGAATATGGTTTAAGCAAATATTCCACTTTAGTTACGTAACCCAGGCTCTTAAATACCCTCAGAGCCCTTCAGTGCAAGAATACCTTTAAACCATATGTTAAATGTTGTAAATCACGAGGCAAACATGTATCCCTAACCCCCTTATCGTTGGGTATGGGCAGCTGTGCACGCGACATGAAATCATTGCCTTTCTCCAAAAACTCCTCCTTATTATCTCAATAGTTTACATTCTTTCAGCCTGATATCAATGCCAGTACTTTTCCCCCAACCTGCAAGCAGGCCTCTTGCTAAGACAGGCTGAGGCCTGTTAGTATGGTTTGTTCATGGTGCTTTTTATTAGTTAAGCACCTTACAGAAAAAAGCTGGGACTCCCAAAGACACCTCCTTGCCGCCTTCTCCCACATGGGGGTGCCCAAGCAGGTAAAGACGGATCATGGACCCTCATCTGTGGCGAAGGCCACACAAGACTTCTTTGTGCTGTGGGGAATCGAGCACCACACGGGTATTCCCTGCTCTCCAGCTGCTCAGAGTGTTGTTGAAAGAGCCCATCGCACACTCCAG